CCACCTCTTAATATGCTGCAGTTTATGGCTGCAGCTTCAAATACAAGACCCTGCCTTGCCAGCGGAGACGACAGCCTCTGAAGTGGCGCCGTCTCGCCTGTCTCCAGGTATCTTGATGCTTCCTCAACCGCAAAAGCTTCGACCGGACTGTGGAATCCGTTGGAAAAGAATATCCTGTGTTCGGAAAGTACTAGTTTGCTCGAGCCATGGGCTGCAGCGTGTACTTGTCGGCGAGCAAGTGTGAAGCGTTTAGCCCCACGGTCGTCGAGCAGAGGCCACCGTACCGGTATCGTTAGTGTCTTTCGCTTTATATGGGGGACAACGCCTAAGTACGTGGGTAAATTGCATCAAAATACACAACTTAATAATTGAATCACCTAGTGTGCTGTGGTATTCACGAATAGGCACTGCTGGTGTACTGGAAACGAGAGCACGGCCGGGTGACTCGCCGAGACGGGAGAGCGCGAATTCGATCGAAGGCCCCCGGAAGTCTCTAACGACTAATAAAGCGAATAATTCTGTCATATTAGCCCACAGATATTCATTTTTGGCACAAAAATATCTGAATACGTGGGGCAGGACTGGAGCCGACTGTCAACAATCAGTGCACACTCTGATTGCCCGGCCTGCTTGCGTTCTGGCTGCTTTAGTAAGGGCCAACGAAATCTTTAGTGACTGTGTTAGGTGTTAGTTTATGTAGCAAATAGGGGACGGGTATGTTCTGGGGCTGTGTTGAAGCAGGAGTTGCAACAAGCCGTGCTGCAACCTACGCCGCTGTCCCAAGGTCCCCCCCAGAGTGGGAGGAACAGCTGCTTTTGGGGAACTTTTATCTTATGTGTCTAACTGTAATGCAGCTAACGACGGTCGCCGCCTGGGGTCGAGGGCCTCACGGTATTCAAGGAGACCTCAATTTGCTATTTGTGCGTACTCGTGAAGAGCAAAACCCGGCATCTCGGATCTAGTAATGTCTTCGGATTCCCACAGCTCCTCGGGGACCTGCTAAGTTCCCGTGCTACTCTACCGAATAATTTGTTAGGCTTAGTCGATCATTAGTGCGACAATGCGGGGACAAACGCATAAACATAATCAAACTGCGACGCTGCTTTCAGTGCAGCTGCTGGGCCTAGTTGACTGTTTNGACAAACGCATAAACATAATCAAACTGCGACGCTGCTTTCAGTGCAGCTGCTGGGCCTAGTTGACTGTTTTTGCAAACATGACCCCCTATGTGGGCTTTTTAATGCAACCAGCTCCACATAGAGCACAGCGAAAACGTGAGATAGTCTCATTCAAGCACTCGCAAGAGTTGCTTGCAGCCGACGAAGGCATGGCTTGCTGCCACGGCAGCAAAGCCAGCAATCCTAGCGAGGAAAGCCAGCTAGTGAGCTAAGGCTGCACTTCAAGCTTACGCCTCGATTAGCTTGTCAGACGCGTACAGGCCAGGCCCTTGGCTAACGCCCAGGGCTTTCCGCGCGAAGCATCTAATGATCTACTGTGACGATAAATGGGACCCCTAAAGTGAGGGAGCAGAGAAAACGTAGCGAATGCGGAACAACCCGCCCCACAAATTCAAATCAAAGAATGAATGAACTATGCACTTCATGCAGCTTCAATGGAACGGGTATCGGTTCAGCGGCTGGCAAACAGTGTGTGTGCAGCAGCAACCATCCGCGCAGCAGTCTCCCGGCTCCGAACTTCAATTCCTCAGCAGTCCGTCTTCCGGTCTTCTTGCACATAACTGCTCGTACTGCGTTGGTTTGCCGCGGCGTGGTGTACGAACAGGAATCCCACGTTTCAAAAGAATCAACTGCTGGGGTTGAGGTGACACTCAAGAATAGACAACGCATTCCCTGAGCGGGNACGTTTCAAAAGAATCAACTGCTGGGGTTGAGGTGACACTCAAGAATAGACAACGCATTCCCTGAGCGGGAGGCGGATTGGGAACCGGCGGCCTTTTTGTCCGTTTTACTGGCCGTCTGGTCCGCGTCAGTATGCGCCTCCTCGCTGGATCTTTTTGCTGCCCCGTCAGACGCACCGGAGGGTTCAGACGATTCAGAATTCCACGAGCGAACAGAGAAAGGAGGAGAGGAAGAGTTCAGTTCCGTGTTGTGCAGCAGCAACTCGCGAGCGCGACGACCTTCTTCAGAATCTTCGGCGAGTAATACATCCAGCATGTCGTCGCTGCTCGATTTCATGAGGGACGCGTGGCCCGTTGGGCTGCGCATAAACAACACAAGCACGGTTTCCACAATGAGTGGCTAACAACACTAGTTGCACCAGCCTCCCT